TTCTTTGCATTTGGGTTTTCTGTTCTCTGTTTCATGTGAACCCAACAATTGACGCCCACCTTGGGGTTGTGAATCAAGAAATTCCAGAAACGATGACAACCAAGTTCGACGTAGAGAAATTCAATGGATCAAATGACTTCGGGCTGTGGAAGATCAAGATGGAGGGTATCTTGATACATCAGGGTTTTGATGATGCATTGAAAGGGGAGTTGAACATGGGTGTTACTCTGACGCAAGAAGAGAAGAAAAGAATGGTAGATAGGGCAAGAAGTGCAATCATACTGTGTCTTGGTGATAAGGCGTTGAGGGATGTTGTAAAGGAGAAGATTACGGTTGGAATATGGGCAAAGTTGGAGTCATTGTACATGACAAAGTTGTTGGCTCATAGGTTGTGTCTGAAGCAACAACTCTATTCGTTCAAGATGACAGAATCAAGAACCATAGAGGAGCAACTTGCAGAATTCAGCAAGATTGTTGATGATCTGGAGAATATTGACATGAGGTTGGAAGATGAAGATAATGTTGTTATTCTTCTGAATGCACTTCCAAGAACGTTCGAGCATTTCAGGGATGTCTTGCTCTATGGTAAGGATCAGGTGATTACTTTAGAGGAGGTTGTGACATCAATTCGAACCAAGGAGTTCCAAAAACTTCAAGATTTGAAGGCAACCAAGGTGGAGGCATCTGGGCACGTTGCAGTGAAATGCAAAGGGAAGAAGCAGGGGGAAAATTGGAAGAAGCCAAAACCAGAAGGTATGAAACAGGTGAGATGTTTCAAGTGCCAGAAGATTGGAAATATCAAGAAGTTCTGTCCAGAGAAGGGCAAAGCCATTCGGTCACAGGAAACTGCTGATGTGGTAGAGGCGTCCGAGGGATATGAATCTGTTGGTGTTCTGGTGGCTTCATTTGAAGATTCTCAAAGGAGCTGGGTCATGGATTCTGGTTGTACCTATCACATGTCCCTGGTGAAGGAATTCTTTGAGAGTCTGGAGCAAAAGGAGCATGGAAATGTGTTGCTCGGTAATAACAAGGCTTGCCGAGTGCAAGGATTGGGTCGGTAAGGCTGAAGATGTTTGACAACCAAGAGATGGTGATGCAGGATGTGAGATATGTGCCTAAACTAAAGAGAAATTTGATTTCTATCAGTTCGTTTGATCTTAGGGGTTACTCCACTGGAGATTGTGTGATTGTCAAAGGCAAAAGAATTGGAGAAGCAATGTTTACTTGAGGATGAGACATATTAGTGAAGTCAGAGAATACCGCTCGGCTTTGGCACTTGAGGATGAGACATATTAGTGAAGGACCTTAAAGAATTGGAGAAGCAATGTTTACTTTTGGGAGATAAGCTGCAAAAGCTAGATTTCTGTGACCACTGTGTCTTGGGGAAATCATACAAAATATCGTTCGGCAAAGGGAAACACTTAACCGAACGTCCATTCGAGTATGCTCATGCTGATTGGTGGGGGCCTGCAAGAACTCAAACTCATGGTGGAGGAGCATATTTCCTTAGTATAATTGATGATTTTTCAAGAAGAGTGTGGATCTACGTTCTGAAAAATAAGTCTAAAACGTTTCAAAGGTTCAAGGAGTGGAATACACAGACCGAGAATCAATTGGGGTGTAAGTTGAAATGCTTGAGAACTGACAATGGTCTGGAGTTTGTTTTAAAGGAATTTAATGAGTTCTGCAAGGTTAAAGGGATCAGGAGGCATAAGACTGTGGTGGAAACTCCTCAGCAAAAAGGTTTGGCTGAAAGGATGAATAGAACAATTCTAGAGAGGGTTCAGTGCATGTTGCTTGGATCGGGATTGTCAAAAGCTTTCTGGGGAGAGGCGGCCAATACGGCAGTATACCTGATCAACAGGAGTTCGTCTTCAGCTCTCAATCATAAAACGCCAATGGAAGTTTGGAGTGGACAGCCAACAAATTACTCAAACTTAAGGGTGTTTGGTTCTTTGGCGTTTGCACATGTCAAAGGGGACAAACTGGAGGCCCGAGCGGTGAAAAGTGTATTCCTTGGATATGCTGAAGGAGTTAAGGGATACAGGTTGTGGAGGTTGGATAATAAACCTTCAAAATTTATCATTAGTAGAGATGTCATTTTTTATGAGACAAGAATGGTAATGCCTGCTAAAAATCCTGAGAAGAAAACTCTCATTAAGGTGGAGCAGACTACTGATGAAGTCGTTCGGTCGTTGATTGAGAAAGATCGAACGGGTGAAGTTCAAAATGAAGTCGTTCGGTCATTAGCTAAGAACCGAACGGTTGGAGTTCAAAGAGAGTCTATCATAGATCTTGGTGATGATACAGATGGAATGTCTGGTGATGTGAGTCACTAAAGAGAGGCTGGTGTTGAATTGAGAAATTATCAGCTTGTACGTGATAAGGTAAGGAGAATCTCTAAGCCAACCAAACAATTTGGAAAGGTAGATCTAATTTGCTATGCCTNTTATTTCCCTATTCACACTACATATTGTTGAGGCTTTTCCTTTCCCATCCGTGATAATTTCCTTCACCTGATAGAGATTTCAGATTCTCCTTATTGCAGTGTACCTATCTGGTGTTGATGATCTCTTTAGAGGCCTACTTGCAGGTATCACTCTTAGCCTTTTAGTGTAGTGGATTTACTCATGTTTGTTGTTGACACAATTGTTTTCAATACAGAAAATTGTTTCTACAAGAATGAAAGTAATTCATTCTCCTTGTGTTTTACATCAATTAAGAATGAAATAAATGAAAGTAATCTTTTAACCTCAGAATTCTTTTAAAGCTAAATTTCTAAGCTTTGTTTTACACCATTTGAGTAACCAATTCCTTATTCTAAAGTTTTACCTAAGGTTATTCATTAACACAATGAAGGACAACATTGAAATCAAAACTAGGACTATATATTTTATTGAAGAGTATGACATGACATCAAGGTAAAAAGTGTCCATGATTGTATCGCAATCCAAAGCCACGTCATGACTGTCCTATCACATTCATTCACAATTTCAAGGAACAATTCATGCAAAGCAATCAATACGGCTATGCCTGAATTTAAAATGTTATGATAGGAAAACACAACATAAAAAGTTCAACCTGTTTTTCACCAATGGCAATGAGCTCTTATACTAAAGCAAAACTTCAAGTACCTGCTCTTCTCAATAACTGTAAAATCCATGAATAAATAAGGTGCAATAAATTAACATGTCTAAATAATTTGTTCACTTTGTAAAATTTCTCACCATACTAATGTTTATAAACAAACATTTATATTGCATTGAAGCTTCAATTACTAAAAACACGTGAGCATGCACTCATGGTCATAATTTTAAAGCTTACTCGGAGAAATTCTTCCATAAACATCTCCAAGAAAAGAAAATTGAAAAAGAAATCCTATAAACTAAAATTAACTTATCCAGGAATTAAAAGCTAGACTTCAAAAAAAAAAAAGGCTAACTAGGACCATTTTTTGCAAATTAGTTATGTATAAACTAATTTTATCTTATAAGAATATTATTTTATTTTCCCTTATTATTTTCTTATCCGGTAAGTGTTCTAACACCCTTAAGGTAATGATCATTAACATTACAGTGTTCATACCTTCAATCCACAAGTTTAAGAAGAGAGAATATGAAACGCGCATTAAATACCATTTCTGAGATCAGCTAATCAATAGAAAATCGGCGTGTTGGAATTTAACAGCAAGGCTCTTTGATGACAACTTCCCACAATTTTTTTTATATGATTCTCCCCTTTCAACACCACGTAGATCTGAAGGATATGTGATGTATCAGATTTGTGTTGTTTTAATTGTGAAATGATGCTTTATTCATAAAGTACAAAAAATATTTTTTAAAAAGATGGCAAAATAATATAATCTTGTTTTCTCTATTTCTTCACAAAATCCTTAAAACATGAAACAAAGAAAAGTATCAACATAGAAACTAAATATGAACATATAAAACAAACCAAACACCATCCTAACCCAGGAAATTAATATTTTAAACACATTACCAAGTAACCCTAGCTCAAGCAACACGAAATCCATAAACATCACAGGGCCATGTTTGATATATGTTAGCAATCATCAAATGTGACTTTTTAAACCAAATCATACATCCAGCAAAGACATCAACTCCACAACCTACCAGCTTTCCTCTACTCCAAAACCTTTAAAAAGGAAGGGAAAAAATTATTACAGAAAAGGAAATTTCAAAAGGATAAGATTATGGTTCAAAGCAGAGAAACAAAAAGTAAGCAGTTAGCTCAAGAAGCTCAAACTTGAAAAAATGCAAGCTGTGCAATCTCTATATAAGAAGAAACTCAGCCCAACAATTATAGGCCAACAAAACCCTGTCTCATCCATTAGTAAAGGGAGGATCGGTCACCATCACCGATGGTAGCTGCCTAACAAAAAATAGAAATTCGAAAACTGTTTCCAAACTAGTCTTAGTCGACAACACTAATGGGAATATATGTTTATTCAGAATATTCAGCAATAATATTATTTATTGTTTCCCAGTATAGGCATCGTGGGCAATATTCTGAATCAAATATTGAATATCATTTAAGTTTAGATGTGAATTGGTACTCTAAGATGGCAATTGCAGGGAGCACAACAGGAGAAAAAGGTAGTATGCATGAATGAATATGAATTGACTCAATTTTTAAATGGAGCAAATATTCAGCAATAATATTTCAGTAAAACAAAGTAATAACACATGTCATCAGATAGTGCACTTTTTCTTTTCAATCCATTAAAAGATTGGTATCATTGGAATGGTTCATAACTCAATTGATACATACCGACAGGTCAGACACTGAAGCAGATGAAACACACTAAACATTTCAAAATTGCAAAACACTTAAAAGAATCAAGAGAATAAAATTTGAGAAGAGAAAACAATGGCTAGAATTAACATTCCACTATTGTAGTTTAAATTGAGAGCATGAAACTCATCAATATAAAGAGAGCAATCTTATGTAATAATTACAAAGGATGAGAACAGACAAACTAACCAAGTCAGAAACAAGGACCTAAACTTGGAAGCATATGTTCTTGGGATACATTGTCAGGAAAAATTATAATATACACAGTCCTGCCAAAAGCCTCCACAAGTTTTCAAAACTTTCCTCGGGTAGTGGTCCATATGTTCTACACAAGTGAATCTAACTTCAAACCACAATGTGTGACCTCGATAGTTGATCCACAAGCATCAACACTGAAAGGTAGCATGACAATCATCATTAAGTATTGCAACTAAGAACTAAGAAATAATATTTTTCTTCAGAATAAACATTGACCAAAAACCTAGAAAAAGAATAGTACATATGTAATGACCTAATTTCTTATTATGAAAGATACTGAGTCCATGAATAGACAGGTATAATGATCATTAATTCAAAATAATTTTCCTCTTAACGTAAAGTTATGTAAACATTTCAAGCAAGCTACAAATATGAATCCAATGACCAATCCTTACCCACCAATTGTACAGATGAATTTTACAATATTTCTATCAGCATCAGGTAGGCCTCCAAAAATTAAGTGCAGGTATATCTGGTCTACAGGACAACATCTGAGGAACACCATGTCCTGAAGAAAGAATTAATGATCTTAATACATAAATGTAGTTTATTAACAATAGGAAGCTAAAAAGGGGAAACCAATAAAACAGTGAGGAAATGCAAAATAACAAAAACTACCTGTCATAGGATGAGTAGGTATGTTGCTAGGATTTGCATGCTGAAAACCTACGTTGTTTATTGGTGGTCTTTCTAGTGGTGGCCGAAAAAAACCTATCATTATCATCATTAAAATAGCATTTATAACATTCAGTTGTATCTCACAGCACAGAAATACTAAAAATAGATGGATGCAAGCCTTTATGAAAAACTAAAGCTAATAACAAACATTCAAGAATAAGAAATACAAACTAACTAAACAGCAAAAAACATCAATAACTTTGATAATCAGTTGGATTCAGTAAGCTGAATATACCTTCCTGCCCAAAGGGAGGAGCAGGACATGAAGGATTTCTCCCTATCCATAGACCCTGCTGATTGTTTGTTATAAATTCACTTGATGGTCTCCTCCATTGCTCATTAGCACCAAATTGCCTCTGGCCATCTGGAACTGATGGCAATGAGAAGGGGGGAAGGAAAGAATGTGGAAGGTGCTGGGGAATTGTAGGCTTTGGATATGAGTATTGATTGGATGAATTTTCGGGTAGGGCAGGATGCACATGTCTTGGAGCAAATGGTGGGTTAGCTGGCTGAAATTGAATATTAGGTTGAGGGCCTTGAGAATTTAGATACATATCATTTTGTCCATATTCTAACTGCCTCGGAGGGTTAAAACCAGAAGGTTCTTGAGAGTTGCAGCCTGCCATTGCAGGAAAGCAAGCAGATGGCTGTTGTAATATTTCATTCTTGACAACTGAGCTATTGTGACTTCCAGGGAAAGAATTTCCAGCCACTTGACCTATTTGGTTGCCCTGTAGGGAGGACGACTCCATTTGTCAAAACCATCAAAGCAAAGAAATCCAAAACAAACCAGTGATATTTGAAAGCCAAAACATCTTACATTGGTTGAGCCACTAAAATCATGAGGTACACTCTGCTGAAACCCTGACAATGGTGATGACTGATGCGATAATTGAGGTGGCACTATTGTCTGGGAGAAAAGTGGAGGCTGAACAGGCTCATATGATTGAGGAACCAGTGAAGGTGGAGGGCTTGGGGGTGGCAAAGGAGGGGGTGGAGGCGAGGAAGGCAAAGGTGGAGGAGAAGGGGGTGAATCTAATGGCAAAGGAGGAGAGCCCTCAAGAATATCATCAGGTATCTCAGCAGAAATGTTTGATGCTGGAACTAAAATCCTTTCCGAGCTCTGAAGTTGAGAATCCTTTTCAGAAGGACTGTTCAGTGATAAAGGTCTTTCCTCCTTAAGGTGACCTGAAACATCTTCCATTTCCAGCTCACCATCCACATCCTCCAAGACACAATGGCGCTTGTCACTTGGGGTAAAAGTAGAAGTTTCAGAATCCCCAACAATGCGCATCGCATCTGCTGGAGATGCATTACTTGGAAAATCATTGTCTTCATCTTCTTCAAACACACAAGAAGATAAAAAGCCAGGCAGCTTAAATGTATTACTGGTACACATCCAGATATAAAAGAAGAATTAGAATTAGAAAGCTTTACCAATAGAATAAAAAAACAACTAATGACAGTTCTATTTCATAAAACGAAGAAAGAGATTCCTGATATTATTAATTGCAAGTCCAGTGATATAAAATAGGAAACTACAAATAGAAACAAAAATGAAATATGTTCCATGTACAATTTCCTGTTTTCTATAATGGTAATTAGAGTGGTATGGTGCATAAAGATAAATAAGAATGTTGACTGGTTAGTTGGGCAGCTATTATTAGTCAGGATTTTATATTGGTAAGCTGTGAGATAGGTGCACTATAATGGTAATTAGAGTGGCATGGTGCATAAATATAAATAAGAATGTTGACTGGTTAGTTGGGCAGCTATTATTAGTCAGGATTTTATAATGGTAAGCTGTGAGATAGCTGCACTAATTAAAGCAGGGTGGCTGTACATTTTAGACAGTAAAATGATAATGAAGTGCAGTTCACAGTTTCTAGGATTTGTTATTCTTCTCTCTCTTCCTTGTGTTCTACTTCCAACCGAAATCATTCCTCTATCAGTGGGGTCTAGATGTGCAGTCCACTGCCACTAGACCAGAATCTTTCAGCTCCATTTTGACAATCAACATGTAATTCAAGAATCTACAGTTAGATTTCAGTCAAAGTAGGTCAGAAGAGAAAATCCTACAAGATTGTTTATTCAAAACAATTTTGACAAAAATGCAATTTAAAAGTTAAATTCATACAGACTAATCACACTAGTTTCAACCCACTTCTTTCTTTTTATGACAATGTAAAGCTCATTGATATACAATAAGTCCAAATGGATATATTCCATTTTGTGCTGCATCTGTTTTCTTGCTTTAAGGATCTAACATTCACAATAGCTTGTTGATTTAAGCTAGATCAATAGTCTATAAATAACAAGTGACTCTTACGAACAAAACACTTCATAATAATGAGATTAGATACAAAACATGAACTTCCAAGCTAATAAGATCAATTAATTAAAAACATCCACACCTTCCATACTCATCAACAAACATGCCCTCCAATTCTCTAATTGGGTCATCAAGAGAACGTTCAGCACGAGAAGGACGCCTAAAGGAACAAATAACTGTCATATCATCCATGTAACGACGAAGAACTGATTCAGGGAAAATTTTCCTCTCAAGCCACAGCTTTAAAACCTGCATTCCACACACATAAATGTAAAAACAAACAAGTTAATATCCCTCATGCACACAGTGTACCCACTTACCAAAAACTGGCACAAAAACATTCCTATAGAAAACCACCCTTGTCTATATCCTATAAAAAAAAGTTGTAATCAAGTAATAGATAATCCTACAAAATATCCTCTCCTCATTCTACAGACAATAAGAAATCAGATTGGGAGAGGCAATTTACACTGTAGCTTACTTTGGTGATAATTTGAAACAGATGTTCCTAATAACTGTTGACAGAGGATTGTCAAGGGGATCAGAGTTGGTTCACAGCAAATTATGGTGTCTAACCCTAGTATGTGAATGACACATTTCTCTTTTGAGAACAATTGAGGTAGGTATGAGAACATTCTTTTATTCTCTCTGATACTAAAATTAGTCCAGAGTATCAATTGCTAAAAGTTTTGTGGGCACAAGTGAGTACAATAATAATGTCCTTTCCCTCCTTCATTGCTTTCCCTGAGTGCCAAAAACTGTGGTACCTTCCCACTTACTAGGAAATTTTGGTGATGATCCAGAGTCACTTCTTCTTGTTGGAGATCCCACATTGATTAGTAATAAAGCAATTTATATTATATAAATGGATAAAAAGTTCACCTTACAAACAAGTTTTGTAGAATTGAGTTAAGCTTAAAGTTCACTTCTCATGATAATATCATAGCCATTTAAAATTCTATCCTAGCTAGATTTATTGTTTGTTGAGCCTATCGTGTCACTGCTATTGAACTGCTGTTAGACTTCCCATAAATATGTAGTCTCATGCTCGAGATGAATATGCTTTGACGTAAGGAGTGTGGGTTGGAGATCCCATGTCGACTAGTAATAAGACAAATTTACAATATATAAGTAGATGCAAACCTCAACTTAGAAGTTATTTTTGTAAAATTCAATTAGACTAAAAGTCTACTTCTTAAGACTTCTAAAGATACGGTGACTTAAAAGAGCAATATGCATCTAGATAATGGCCTTCCTAAAGCCAAGGTCAAGGATCCTATTTTTGTAGGGGTTCATTGATTCTCTAACCATGCAAATTTCTTCATCTTTATGTGCCCTTTATCAGCTAAGGATGTCTCACATTTGTAGTAAAGGAGTTGTCAAATTAAATGGGTTTCTCAGAGAAATTGGGCTTAAAACTTAACCTAAGTCTAAAACTAGCTTATAAGGTGAGAATTGTCAAAGCTTCATAAGCTTTACCTAAGCTATATCTTTCTAATTGATGAGTGCATGGATACAGAAGAAAAGGAGTGAGGACATTTTGGAAGAATCACAGGCATGACTAGAAATCTTGTTGCTCACAAAAACTCGTCTTTATATTCTTACTTTTGTATTTCTTAGTCCTTAGTTTTGTAATTTAGGACACACATTTGATCATTTTTACACTTTTTTATAATTATTTGACCTTTATCCAATTGATATTTGATACTCTGACTTGAGATTCATGCAATTATAATTCCTTTTTTGATAATTGACATTGGAGAAAAGAAAATGTGTATATCCTTTTGAAATTGAATCCTTTATAATATAATGTTTTTCTTAGGAAAATCTTACCCTCTTATTCTCTAATAAATTCAATGTTCTCACTGTTTTGACATCAGTTCTGTCACTTTTTTTCAATTTATTTAGCATATCAAACACTGGGTAGTAGGTAGTGTTTGGCCCACTCATTTTAGGCTTCTCTTTTCCTTAGAAGGAGAAGCTAGGCAAATAAAAAGGATGTCCAAAACAGTGTTTTTTTTAATGAAAATAATAAAGATAAATAAGCTTTTGCCCTCTCACTCCCTCTTTATTCCAAATTTTCAGGTCTACAGTCACGCTACACGAATTTTTTTACCAAAGAGTAACTTCCAAGCTTAAAAATTATAAAAATACCAAACAACTTCAACATTAAATGTAAAACTCTTATTTATAGATTTAACTTTTAAGTAGTTTATAAGTGATAAAAAATAGTCTGGCAAGACAGATCTAAATAGTAATTATGGCTTACCTTGAGGATTTGTAGCTGTTTCAAGGCAATTCACATTATTGATTCACATTATTGATTTTATTGTTCTGTTTTGAAGTATAATTATATTCCTTTTCATACTGGCTTTTTTTTCCTCTCAAATAAAATATGTTTGCAGGCAAAATGCTTACCTTGAGACATTGACGACGATTTTCAGAAGCACTGGCCCCAGGGGGAGCAGCAGCACTAAGAAGGCGTGGCAACCCTCCTTGAACTGTGGGGATGTATGAGGCTCCTGCAATGCCTGAAAAGTATATCTATGATTACAGTTCAAAGTTATCATTAAAGACACTACCTAAGACTTGCAAATTTGTAGGTAACAGAAAAGAGAGATGCAGACATAGCCATAATAAATGCAACTAAACAGTCTACTATGAAGTACATACTCCCACCTTTTTGATTATGAGAGCACTGGGTGATGGAATCAACAAGAAAAAACAAATCCACTTTACGATGAAAACTAGTTTCACTTTCCAGCTTTCGAATAAGAAGTTCAACAACCTGAACATAACTTCAAGGTAAGTCCACTACAATTAAAATAACAATCAAATTGATGCCAAAATTGGCACTTCAATTTGCTTCACATGTCTATTTTGATATGTATTTGACATTGATACTTTTGGATACTTCACCAAAACATACAACAAAGTATGAACATGTATAATATAGAAACATGAAAGCATTGTCCATTGTATGATAAACAAATAATGAAAATTGTTCTCATTATGGATGGTTTCCCGAAAGAATGAGATTGACAGTGTTATTATATTTTAAAATAATAGGAAATAACTTAAGATGAGAATGATTTACTTTTTTGTGATATTATTGTTCTTAAGATTTGTAGAATTTCAATCATATATCTATTATGTTTTATGAATTTTCATACATACTAAGATGATATGTATCTTACATGTTATGTATCTTGTATATATTTAGAATATTGTATCATATCATCATTTAAGATACATATTGTATCCAATATGCATATCGTAATCATAGGAAAAAAGTAGTTGTACAAGCCTAATAACATTGTTAAAAGAAATATATTCACATCATAATTCTTAAAATGTACAAAAATCTGCATTGCCATATTCTACAAGTACAAATTGAACACAGAAGCACACAAGAAACCTAATAGTTTAATTTTAAATACACACACGCACTCACATTATCATCATCATCATCATCATCATCATCATCATCATCATCATCATCATCATCATCATCATCATCATCATCATCATCATCATCATCATCATCATCATCATCATCATCATCATCATCATCATCATCATCATCATCATCATCATCATCATCATCATCATCATCATCATCATCATCATCATCATCATCATCATCATCATCATCATCATCATCATCATCATCATCATCATCATCATCATCATCATCATCATCATCATCATCATCATCATCATCATCATCATCATCATCATCATCATCATCATCATCATCATCATCATCATCATCATCATCATCATCATCATCATCATCATCATCATCATCATCATCATCATCATCATCATCATCATCATCATCATCATCATCATCATCATCATCATCATCATCATCATCATCATCATCATCATCATCATCATCATCATCATCATCATCATCATCATCATCATCATCATCATCATCATCATCATCATCATCATCATCATCATCATCATCATCATCATCATCATCATCATCATCATCATCATCATCATCATCATCATCATCATCATCATCATCATCATCATCATCATCATCATCATCATCATCATCATCATCATCATCATCATCATCATCATCATCATCATCATCATCATCATCATCATCATCATCATCATCATCATCATCATCATCATCATCATCATCATCATCATCATCATCATCATCATCATCATCATCATCATCATCATCATCATCATCATCATCATCATCATCATCATCATCATCATCATCATCATCATCATCATCATCATCATCATCATCATCATCATCATCATCATCATCATCATCATCATCATCATCATCATCATCATCATCATCATCATCATCATCATCATCATCATCATCATCATCATCATCATCATCATCATCATCATCATCATCATCATCATCATCATCATCATCATCATCATCATCATCATCATCATCATCATCATCATCATCATCATCATCATCATCATCATCATCATCATCATCATCATCATCATCATCATCATCATCATCATCATCATCATCATCATCATCATCATCATCATCATCATCATCATCATCATCATCATCATCATCATCATCATCATCATCATCATCATCATCATCATCATCATCATCATCATCATCATCATCATCATCATCATCATCATCATCATCATCATCATCATCATCATCATCATCATCATCATCATCATCATCATCATCATCATCATCATCATCATCATCATCATCATCATCATCATCATCATCATCATCATCATCATCATCATCATCATCATCATCATCATCATCATCATCATCATCATCATCATCATCATCATCATCATCATCATCATCATCATCATCATCATCATCATCATCATCATCATCATCATCATCATCATCATCATCATCATCATCATCATCATCATCATCATCATCATCATCATCATCATCATCATCATCATCATCATCATCATCATCATCATCATCATCATCATCATCATCATCATCATCATCATCATCATCATCATCATCATCATCATCATCATCATCATCATCATCATCATCATCATCATCATCATCATCATCATCATCATCATCATCATCATCATCATCATCATCATCATCATCATCATCATCATCATCATCATCATCATCATCATCATCATCATCATCATCATCATCATCATCATCATCATCATCATCATCATCATCATCATCATCATCATCATCATCATCATCATCATCATCATCATCATCATCATCATCATCATCATCATCATCATCATCATCATCATCATCATCATCATCATCATCATCATCATCATCATCATCATCATCATCATCATCATCATCATCATCATCATCATCATCATCATCATCATCATCATCATCATCATCATCATCATCATCATCATCATCATCATCATCATCATCATCATCATCATCATCATCATCATCATCATCATCATCATCATCATCATCATCATCATCATCATCATCATCATCATCATCATCATCATCATCATCATCATCATCATCATCATCATCATCATCATCATCATCATCATCATCATCATCATCATCATCATCATCATCATCATCATCATCATCATCATCATCATCATCATCATCATCATCATCATCATCATCATCATCATCATCATCATCATCATCATCATCATCATCATCATCATCATCATCATCATCATCATCATCATCATCATCATCATCATCATCATCATCATCATCATCATCATCATCATCATCATCATCATCATCATCATCATCATCATCATCATCATCATCATCATCATCATCATCATCATCATCATCATCATCATCATCATCATCATCATCATCATCATCATCATCATCATCATCATCATCATCATCATCATCATCATCATCATCATCATCATCATCATCATCATCATCATCATCATCATCATCATCATCATCATCATCATCATCATCATCATCATCATCATCATCATCATCATCATCATCATCATCATCATCATCATCATCATCATCATCATCATCATCATCATCATCATCATCATCATCATCATCATCATCATCATCATCATCATCATCATCATCATCATCATCATCATCATCATCATCATCATCATCATCATCATCATCATCATCATAATAATAATAATAATAATAATAATAATAATAATAATACAATGCTCAAAAAACACTTCGTTTTTAAAAAACATGAGGGTTAGCTTTCTACATTAGTTGAGCTTACCCTTCACCCATGTGACAATACTGACTTATGGTATACCACCAACTGGTAGAAAAGCACTCCAACAGAGCTAGCAATAACTAATGTTGAGACAGTATCTTTGCACACTAAAAGCAATCTTATACTCATACTTGATGTGGATGATAAGGAATAAAGTTTTTAGTTGTTATCTGATTCATTGGTTTAGAAATAGAAAGGATATGAAATAGCATACCTCATTGGCAATGCCATACTTAGCACAATCAATAGCTAAACGTGTTGCACGCCCAATACTTTCCTTGGTCCTAGACAAAGTCTCTATCATTCCTTCAAAGGCATCACGAGCAATAGCGGCATCAGTACCGCCACTTAGAGAACCCCTTACATCCTTTTGCACTGGACTAACTATTTTCTCCTCATTTTCTACAGCATCAAGTTCATTTTGAGAAATGGATTGATACCCATTAGTTGATGGAGAAGCCAATGTTGGGTGTTCAAGAACTACCTGCCAATCAGCCTGATCAAAATTACTTGAGGCAGACAAAAATGGTTGAATTGTAGAGGGACTTGGTGTTCCCCCTTGAGTATAGTAAGTGGAAAGAGGCTGAAATTGAGCTTGAGCTACTTGTCTCCGTTTTGCCTGTGCAGCTGCAATAAGATTCTTCATAGTCTTAGGAGTTTCTGGAGTCCTAGAAACAAAACATACATTACTTCTTCCATGCCCACCACAATTCTATAATAATATAAATAAAGAAGTGGAAACAAAAAAAACAAAAAATAAAATATAGAAACAAAAGAAAATTAAAAAAAAAATGTACCTATCAACATGAAAAGCATCAAATTCCTTTAAATTTTCTGTTGTAACTGGAACTTCAACTGCTTGTGATAATGTCTTTGGTGTAGTTTTAGAAGTTTCAGCTGAAGGTGCAGGCTTCTTTTTATGAGTAGTGACCTGACTTGGTGAAGAGCTGAAGCTATTTAAATTCTTTGAAGACACGTTATCAACCTTCTTTTGAGTAGAATTACTGGAAACTTGAAGCATACGTTTGGAAGATTTATTTTGCTCAGCATTTGACTTTGTTGTATGAAGAGAACGAGGTGAATTTACAGGAGAGATGGACCTCAATTTATCCACCACCTTGGGAGGCAGTTGCTTTGAACCTAATCTCCCAGGACTATGAGGTAATTGAACAGGAATAACTTCATCAGTCTCTTTTTGAGGATGCCCAGTTGACAAATTGTCATTTTGTAATTCAGAAGTGGATTCTTTAAAATGGACATCCTCAAGTGCAATAGGGTTTTTGGTAGCCAGCTGAGCAACATCAGTGTTCTCTAGCAGTGTATCACTGCTCTTCATAACCTCTGAAACAAAAGAAGTTGATTTAATATCTTTAGCAGCTCCTCTATGAACAGGAGTCTTCGGTTCATCATCATCATCAGAAACGCAAACAGCTCTTCGTCTCCTCTTTGCTTGCTTAATTGCAACATTATTTGTGTCACCTTGCGATCCAAGAGAACTTATCTCTGTATGTCCACCAGTTGCAACACTAGCAGAATCAGGCATAGATTGCAGGACTTGGACACGATGTTTTGTCTCGGGCAGCAGTTCACCAACAGAATCATCAGAACCTACAATGCTGATCTGACCCCTCGATGACAAACCTTTTTCTGATTTCAAACGTGATGTAGACCTTTTCAACTCTATTTGTTTGAATTCTTTGTCAGGAGAGCTAGGAAAAACACTATTCCCATCTTCCGAGAGAGATTTTGAAGTCTTGTTGTCTTTGTTATCCATAAACTTCAACTTCTTGGTAGCATGTGAGGTTTCATATGTTCCCAAATTACGTTTTCCATGAACATGGGTTTTGTTATGTTTAAGAGGTTTTCTTCTCTCAGCCTCAGAACATTCAAAGCTCTCTTGTAACTCTTTTTTAACCTTAAGACTTGTTTTAACTTTCAGCAGGTTCTTATTTTTACTTCCACTGTTAATATCAGAGTCTGATTTTGGAGCATCTAAAGAATCTGACCTAACAGAAAATGAATCTTTCCCCTTTTTTTTATCTTTCAATTTCTCCCCAGACCTGGAAAAACTAGCATAACCTGCACAGCTTTCATCCTTCAAAACTGCTCTACTAATTTCACCACTTCTTTTTCTATCATCTGCAATCTTTCTTCTCCTTGAGACACTAACAATCTTTCTTGAGTTGTTCCCATTTGTAGAAACACTCTGTACATAATCAGCTTGCTTTAAGTCATTAACATTGCACAAATCCTCAATATCAAAGTCTTCAACTTTACGATGTGATTGTTCATCCAGGCCAGATTTGCTACTGTAGTTATTTAGTTCTTCACCAATTGATGGTTTGCTTTCAATCACAGGAGACAACACTGGAGACGCACTGTCAATTGGATGACCAGATAGAGAAGGTTTTGCATCTTGGCTACCACTTTCTTCACATTTCTG